CCCTGTATATTGCAGTAAATACAATTCTACGCGAGGTCTATCCAAGACAAGTAGGAGTCACCAAAGCAACGTCGATTTTTACCTTCGAAAATAAATTTTCCATAGCCAAAATTAGAACTCATTAAGTGTGGGTCAGTTTTCGTTAGCTCGAATATTCGTGACTCACGGTTTTCGCATATGTCAGACAACATATTTTTATGGAACGTTTTGCAAACATTTTGAGACAGTTTTAATACGAAGATGCCAACGATGTTTATAAAAGGCGCTTTGAGGTGCATTTTGGCATCAAACTTTTGAAACAGATGGATAACAAACGCAAAAGACAAACATCGGTTTCGTTTTCTATTATTTTTTTATACCGACGCAGCTGTGTAGGCAGACGGGGACACCGCAGCTGCTTAAAGAAGCCTCAAAGCTTCAAAATTCCCTTTTAAAAGTCCAGATACGACCATTTTTCACCGAAACACATCCTGTCAAAAATCGCCGAATATTTGGATTTTTTTCTGGCACCCTTAATTTTTTGAATAGTGTTTTATTATATTTAGAAACTTGATAACTTTACAACAAGTGTCACCGTGGTTGAGATTGCAGTCACGCAAGAATTTTTTTTGAATAGAAGAGTCTGGTATATCAACTGCTTTAGAAATCATCATTTTCATTATACAAATAAAAATCGTTTTAATTTTTTATTGCAACGTGTGCCAAAAGCAATTTGTAGAAACTAATTTCTATCATTATCGTAAAGAACTGAAAACAATGAGTGGGTAGCTTTGTCGGTATCTAATTATCCGACCACCCCCGTATATGGTGCTGCCACCGCCTACACCTTCCAACGCCGATTTCAAAATATATTATTGACGAGCATAAAGTTTTAATAAATAATATTGTTTATAGCTGTCATCGATATATTTTTTTCCCTTTCAAACCCACTCGTTTGCGGAACATCATCACAACTACCAGCCATTAATCTAACGTTCGTTTTATTTATTAGGACATTAAAAACAGTATTTTATTATTATTCTAGCGACGTTCTTTGTAGTTGAAAATATTGGGTTTTGCGTCGTTAATTATTGAACTCGATCCATAAAAAAATGATTATTGAACCAAAAGCAATGCGTGTATTCGTGTTTAAACTGCATTTAAGGAGAAATATTCTAAGCACAATCAGTTTAACATCAAAAAATGTACACCTAAAGAAATATAAATTTATACGCTAACTAATATTATTTAACGTTGGTGTACTTACCCATTTTTATTTCTATTTTCATTCGCATGTGAACCCAAGCACAAGTTCAAACTTGTTTGGGTAATTTATGTTTATTGTAAGATACCGATTTTGCGTACGTTATTTCAATAAACATTATTATTATTATATTGAGGGGATTCCTTTTCCAAAACCTTCAAAAATATGTGCGATGATACGTCCGGCTAGAAAATTCCTCACATACAATTTTTTCACCAACGGGTAAAACCCTTGTTACGAATACAAAACAGTGTTCCTTTAAAGAATTATATGGTAATGTTAATACATAAACAGAAGTTTCCATTACTACTCGACTATATATATATACAGGTATATCCTTTAATTTCTTTGGGTAGAAGGCAAATTATTGCAAAAGTACACTCTTATAAATTAAACTCTCAAGCTTTCGAAGATCTATGTCTTCATCGTCTGGAGCTGGAAACAATTATTGACAATAGCAACAAATTAATTTGTTGTTGCGTACTTCGTCAAAATTCAAGCAAACAGGAACTCTTTATAGGTACTTTATTAATCTCTAGCTTTCAATGGACTTTGCCATCTTCATCAGGAGCTGCAATAACATTGAGAAGAAATAGCAACTATTGTGCAAAATGATTATAGATTAACTTACAGTCGTATGTGAGATTGTTGTTAGGTAATTTTATATATATATATATATATATATATATACAGGGTGACTTTGAAGTTGAGTCATTAATTTTCAGATAATGACTGTAGAAGGAAGATAAACCAAAATATGTGTGTAAAAATAAAAAAAAATTAAAAATTTTTTTTTACCTTGTTTTATAAAGTATCCTCCCGACAAGTATTTCAGTGCGGACCTGTATTTGATCGTGAGGTCTTGGTGCACCGGCATGCAGTCCCCTGTGTGGTCTTAAGTCACCTGATTCACGAGCCCGTTGTACTACATTAACAAAGGCACGAGGGGTTGGTTGCACTCGATTGGGAAACCGATCCGCATAAACATGTGCCATTTTTTATTTGGTTTAAGCCACGCAACAGACACTACTATTCACTGACACTGACTGTATACAAATGAATAAAATAATTGTAAAAACATCGTTCCAAATTCTTTCGCTTTTTTGTTTCCGATGCGATGAACCGATACGGCGGATTATATCCGTTGTCGCCAAACACGAGCACATAATATTATTATTGAGACAGGGCGGTACTCAAACTTCCAAAGGGCTATAACTTTGTTACTTTAATTTTACCAGAAAAATGGTAAAGGAAAAAACATTTCTTTTGATCAGATCTACTCACTGTTAAAATAAATGACTCAACTTCGAAGTCACCCTGTATATAAAACTTGAGACATGGTCAATGTCGTCGAGACCAGTTAGGTGAAAACTCAAAGCTTCCGCCTTTTCTTGGGTACTTCGACAAAATTTAAGCAAGGAGAGGACTCTTTATACTTTTTTAATCTCTCTAGCTTTCAATGGTCTTTGCCATCATCATCAGGAGCTGCAATAACATTGAGAAAAGTAGCAACAATTATGCAAAATGAATTTAAATTAACGTATGTGAGGATGTTGCTAAATGCTATTTACGTTAAGGATGAGGGAAACAGCTTACCGGGTGTTCCCTTCACCATATTCACAAGATCATTAATGAATATAGTAAATAACAATGGACCTAAGTGAGAGCCCTGCGGTACTCCGGAAAATACCCAAATACTACGAGGCGTACACCTACCATACCTTACCATCTAAGATCGATCAGATATTTTAGAGATAAAATAGAAAAGGAAGGATTGAAAACTGCTGCAACGTACAGAGATAATATTATTATACTGTGCATGATAAAGATAACGCTTCGCACAAACAACTGCATTACGTTTACCCAATGCGTCAACTGCAGCACCTGGCGGTGTACCACAACGAGTACCACGTTGAGGAAGTTACCTCCATCATCTCGGTACCGTTTAAACATGCACAGAGAAATTACGCAAATCACACGGGAATTTATACGAATTTATTTCATACGCGTTGAAAATGGACGGCAAATACTTATTTGGTTATAATTATCTTCCAGGTGATGCTGCGTTGTTTTTAGAAATCGCAAATTGGTAAGGTTCCCAAGGTATCGGTTCAATTGTCACCGTTATTATTTGATACAGGTGTGTTAAATTGGTATGCAGGTTTTAGATTTGTTTAAAATCTGTTTCGCTAAAGAAGAAGATATGCAGATTGTGAATAGTTGTATGTATGTACTAAGGAACAAGATGGTAATTGGGCATCGAAACAATACCACAGGGATCTATCCTCGGAGCCCACCTGTGGAACCTATACATGTGTAACATAACCTATATAAAATAAAGATTCATTTGATTGATTGAGAATTAACGTTAACAGCCGCGCATTGACGTGAAATCTCATTCTAACGTCTTTGTCAGGCTATTCACGATAATACCAGGAAAAGCTGCGCAACGACCATATCAGGACAAACTGACAAAAATATTAATTTTCTATACATAACCATACATTGTAACACAACCTTAAATTCCACAATATCATCATCGACCGCCGTCAGATGGGCATTGACATTGACTGGTCTAAGTATAACGTCATTGCCGTTACTATCCACACTAAGTGACACGAAAGAGTGCCCTCTAATAATGAATTTATCACAAGGATTTTCTAGGTACATGCTTGCTTCTCATAGTAGCCGCGGCGCTTCGGTATAAAGAAATCCGGTTCTGATCTTTAAAATACTTTTTTCCACGCCACTGTTTGATAGATGTAAAACGCCGTTTTTATTTATGCGTTTGACATTGAGATCCGCGCCGGATGAATGGATGTAAAGTACAAAAATACGCGGCACACATTTTTCAACGAAACTTTAGAGTAGCTTTGATATATCATGCGACATTCTTTCTGAATGCGATTAATGAATTTTTGTCTCTACACGTGGCGAGTACAACCTTTGTGAACAGTCTCAAATAATACTTGTTCTTGTTTTTCGACCCTTCATACGCCTAAGGACACCGCCATTAAGGACTTCGTGTTACAGAATGTAGACAGAAAAAATAAAGGACATAGTCTACAGATGGATGAATCTGCTGCCATCTAGAGCACTTCCATGGATGGTCGCGAAAACGCTGGAATGTTCCTCGATTCGTCGATAGGAGAATAAATACCCGACCAGATGGCGGAAGCAGTCAGTCAGACACACTGCCGCAGTCTTCAGCGGGCGATGACTCACCACAAGACACGAAACCCGTAGTCTAGTCAACATGGTTATGAATTAGTACAAAAATTAGTGTAGAAGTAATAAATTAGACGTTGGACAGTAAAAAGGGTGTTGTCGTCACAATATGAAATAGAGTCACGCCATCGTATAAATGGGACCTTGGGTGGCCTGGAGGGCGATCTCGACTTTGTCAAACAGAATTAAACGATCATGTATGGAGCGTGCTTGCGTTTTGGACCGTCACGAATTGACCGGGAAAACGCTGGAATGTTTCTCGACTCGTCGACATGGACATAAATATCCGACCACATGGCGGTACGAGGCAGTGACAGTCGAGTCTATAGACACAGCCTAACAACTGGACGGCGAACGCGGATTAGTCCAGTCGACATAGTTACAAAATAATTGAAAGTGTTATAAATTAGTGTTACAGTAATAAATCGAATACGAATGCCAGCTGCCCAGTAACCTTGTACCATCAAGGTCGAGCAAACAGTCATGAACGCTGGATGACGTTGAATAGCAAATTCAGATTTGCGGAGTGTTATTCGCGGCTGAAAAAGAGATAAAAGTTTGAGGAAAATGTTGACTCACCTATTTTTCCATTTGGACTGTAGGGGTCGTAGCTGCCTGATGACATCGGTGAGGAGTATCCGTTGGATATGGAGGCGTACGGTTGAGAAGAGGGGGGACCGGGAGAGGGAGTAAGAGGGGCCCCTCCGCCGACGCTCATCGCGCCAGGGGAGGGGGAACCGAGGAAATCGTCCGCGCCGCCACTGGTACGGGGACGTTTGGCCGCGGGGGGCATCTGAAACAAAGAAGAGAAAATATGCAGAAATTGCGCAGGAAAAGAATCTTCTTTATACAAAAAATACACATGCTGGAAAGCTTGAGCATGACAATCGGGTTGGACCTGAACATTTGCACATTTAGCATGATTTTGAATAAAATTTTGGGGAATTTTGAAGTTTCGCCCTTCTTGGAGAAAATCTGCTACCCCCGCTCTTCAAAACGATTTGGGGGCAGGTACACTTTCATAAACATTTATATCTTGCCGATAATTGGACCCTTCACATCTCAAGGCTGATTCAAATATGTCAAGGTCAAGCTTCACACATCGATTCTAAAAACAAACGCATACAGCAGCATCCGGGTGTTTTCAAAACACTACCGAGGCTTCGCTAGTGCATGCATATCGTTTTTGAAAATTTAGCAATCCATTCCAAAAGCCTACACCGATTTCGATGAACGGTGAATACTTTTTCATTAATTTTTTCCTTACTTTTTCGCTGCCGTTTCACCGCACATTAGCTTTGTTATTATGAACGCGGTTGATTCTGACAAAAGAAAGTCCCAACTTTCAGGATACCCTGTATACGCTCTCGACTTAAAACTAAACTTCCTACGTTGAATGTGACGTATAACGTTTTGTCAACTTACGTGTTCAAATTGTGGCATGGCCTGTCCCCCGGCAGTGGCTACCGTCGCGACGGTGACCGTCGTACCGACAAAATTGGCAACACTGCTCGCAAACGCGTTGTTGCCACCGCACGCGCCGGCGACGCTGGACGCTGCGCTGACGCTCAGCAGGCCGTTCCCGCCGCCGTAGCCGATCAGCGACGGTTCGCTTTTCACCTAAAACAAAAGAAAAACGCAATAATAGTCAGGTACCAAAATGGAAGAGAGTAGCATGACACATCGTACGCCACTGCACTGAATTTGCCGACAGTCTACTACATATTTTTATATAGAAGAACGCTAGGAAACCGCGGCAAACCCCAACATCGCTAGTGGAAGAAGTTGATCTTGAAGTGGCCCTCACCCCTATAATCCCCAAATTTTAACCCCTACGAATGTTTTTCGGAAAATAACCAGGATCCTGTAAAAGTAAAAAAAAGTTTGAGCGATTTTTATTTTTTTCGATTTTGGCCTTTTTAACTCCGACGCCACTGGACCGATTTTTAAATATTACAATACTTTACATAGTAGTAACATGGTTACATACTTCTTCTCCAGCAGGCGTGACAAGTAAAATTATATATTGTAACATTAGATTCCACTTTTTACAAGTTTCACCGATATAATGGAAAGAATCTAGACAGGTACTAATGTCAAATGGTTATGCATTCAATTTAATTTCAAAAAAAATACAAACCAGCAGCTGCACGTCGTCCTCCCGATAGATCATCTCGTGCTTGATGGCCGCTGCGGAGGCGGCGTCCATGCTTCAGGGGCGCGGTCTCGACGATGCTGGTAGGCGTGGCCTGAGACTCGCTCGCTCCTCCTCATAGGGCGGAGACGCAGACGAAGCGGCATGAGCGGCGGCGACCGCCTACCAACACGTGCTGCTGCTGAGGGGCGTCGCCGACCAATGACGGTGCGAGGAGGGAGGGGCTAACGGACGAGCGGGCGGGGCTGGCGATATAGTGGTGGGCGGAACAACGCGATGACCGGCGGAGCAAGGGCATTCTCACGACGGCGCAAAGGGCTGAAACAAAAGAGAAACATTTGTTAATGAAACGAACAGTTTTCGGTTTGCTTAACAGCTGGGACGACGCAAGTATAGTAGACGACAGAGATAATATTTACGATTTATGTCGCAGTCGGTATTAAAAATGGCTTAAGGTAGATTGATTTTTTACTTCCTGCGCCTTTGCTGGAAGTTTGCCAAGTTATTTCGAATTATGAGCACATTATACATCGAACTTTTGGCAGAAGTAAACAAGCACACTACAACACCATTGTAAGAGATCCGAAAAGTTATTATTTTAAAATTCTTCGATGGTATAAAAAGCTTTATTGATTTTATTATTAATTCTGTAATTAACTGAGCCGAGGCCAAACATTCTAAGTGCCTCAGGAAGAACGTTATAAAAGTGGAATCCACAGTAGTTTCTCTAGTTCTTGTAGACGATGTTTAGGAATATCTAACTTATGCGTGTTACGTGTATTGTAACTTCGTAGCACCGTACATTTTGTATACATCCAAATTGTTATTTACATAACATAAGCAGATAAATCCATAAGGAGATCGAAGAGTCAAGATGAATGCCTTTCTACATGACTGCATCGGCAAACAGTATAAGGAGTTTGTTTGCAATACAATTAGGAAGGGGATTTACGTATATTAAAATAAAAGTCGTCCTAGCACAGAACCCTGTGGGTCGCCACACGAAGCTGTCGTTTGAGATCAAAAAAATTTGCTAAGCAACGAGCAGCATTTTCAAATCTCAATAAAGCCTGAGAAGTAGACTTACCTGATCTGAAACCGAATTGACAGTTAGTAAACAGGTTATTGCTTTCAAAATAGTCATGAGCTGATCTTTCAAAAGAATCTCAAGTATCTTAGCAAATAGGAGTGTAATTGAAATAGGTCTATAATTCGAAAGATCGTTGGTATCGCCTTTTTTCCAGCATCGGTTTAGACATCTACATTAATCTAGCGTTGTCTGTCTCTGTGACCCAGACGAAACCCATCCACCTAGTGCTTTGCCCTCACCAGGCGGCCCCCGGGCGCAGTTAACAGTCGCGATCCCCGAAAATCACCCCCCCCCTCTAGCAGCCATATCAACCCCCTGCAGAACCCTCCCGCAGCCGAAAGTACGTCACAGCCGTCTAGACGACCCGCCTGGGGTGGCTGCACTTTCCATCCCCACCCCTTACCCTCCTACCCCCTTTTTCGGTTCTTCTCGCCACCGAGCTGTTAAATCGCACCGAGACAAGGACGTATTACGGCTAGGATTCACTGACCTACTCCAAGGGATGGACAATCATAATTAGTTTGCGAAATAATTGTAAAATCTGGTTTGATTGATGCAAGTTGTTCAAGGGGGTATTCAAAACAAAAATATAAACACACAAGTGGAAAAATGGGACAGAGTAAAATAACGTATGTCTTAATAGTTTTGGCACAATATATTTATCGCTTTTTCTTTAATGTATAATAATGATAAATAAATGTTAACTGACAGTAAAGTAGTTAAACAAACTTTTGTTTCCAAAGGCAACTTGATATTATTTTGTGTTTGTTTAAATTAAAGCCAATGAATTTGGTGCCAAACTTTTAGGACATTAATTGCTGAAGTAGTTGATCTGTATGGACATAATTAGAATTTTGGGAAAATTTCTATTTTAAATACACATATTAAAGAGTTTAGCTAGTGGAAGGTTAATTAAATTCATCAGTATCTTCATGATTTTGGAATTGAAGTCGTATCAGTACTTTTTGGAATTCTTCAAGGATTTAATAGCAGATCTAACTTGATTGAATGAAATTTCTTCAAAGGTGGATCAATCTATGTTTTTGGTGTGAACCAAATAATCTAAGGCATCACTTGGGTCACTATATTCCAGACTGTTTTGAGGTGAGATGTGTCTCTGCACCCCAACCAGCCTACTCCGAAGTTGGCCCAACGCCCCCAAAACATGATATTTCTGAATTTATCTGCAGACTAATTAAAATGTTATTTCAAATTTTTTGTTTCCTTAAATGGTTATGAAAAGATAACACAACCGACGCGGCTATTTTTAAAGCGTTTTTATTTCGAAATTGTCTTCTTTGCAAAAGGATTTGTGTATAGAAAAATACATACAATAATAATAATAAAATAAAGGTAGGCATGGTATAATAAACGAAAACACTTTGCGTTGCTAAGAACCTGATTTTTGACGTTAAAATCAACTTTCAATGCAGTGGTGTTGTTGTTAACAATTAAAAATGGCCCGCGGTAAAGCTGTTTCTGACGAAATAAGAAAAGTGATGATTTAAAAGGCCAAAATGTTTCCCAAATCGCTGAGACCCAGAACTGGAAGTCGCCCGCGTTCTTACCATACCAACTTAATAGCCTTAAAATGGAGTACCAAGAAAAATCGGCGTGCTAATTATAACGAATTGAAAGTATTATGGAATCAGACAGCCACAAAAAAGTTTTCAAGAGCAACTTGCCACAGAGCTGCCCAAAACTGGGATTTAAAACTTACAGAGTAGGATTAAATTATTTTTTTTTATTATTCGCTTTTAATTCAGTATTTCTAGGCAAAAGAAAAGCCCTTACCGACAAAGATTCAGAAGAAAAACAGACTAGCGTGGGCCAAAGAACGCAAATTATGGTTTCCGAACCAATGAAACTCACACATTTGGAGTGATGAAGCCAGTTTTGAAGCATGCGTTGGTGATAGTAGGAGTCGTAGTCATAAGAACTAAAGAAAGTGTTTCAGGATGACTGAAAGTTAAGTTTCCAGCTTCTGTTATGGTTAGGGATTCATGTCAGCAATGGAATGGGATACTTACACTTTGTGGAAAGTATTATGACTGCTGATAAGCACATAAGCACAAAACAATACTGAATGTATCTTCCAACAAGATGAAGCCGCATCGGGTAGTCCAAATCTATCACCGATTGAAACCTTGTGGTTTATCATGAAGGAAAAACTCCGATCGAATCCCGCAAGAACCGTTCCAGAATTATGAACCCGTCTCCAAGAAATTTGAAACAGTTTTACACAAGACGACTGCCGAACATTGGTTGACACTACGAGGGTGGTCCCAGAAGAACCCGGCCTGACCTAGAGTTGGCGATAGTCGTTTGAAAAATAACATTGTATTAGAAAGTATGCAACCTATAAAGCATATGTGTCAAGTTTGAAGACGCCACGTTGTTTAGTATTTGTTTGACAGCCATCAATACTGAACGTTTTCAGTGAATTTGCGAAAATGGAGAAAATTGGTCATCGTTATGTTGTACAATACTTTTATTTCAAAGGCCTCAGCCCAATCAATATAAAAGTTGAATTGGATTCTACTCTGGGTGATTCTGCTCGTTCGTTTACAACAGTAAAATATTGGGTAGCAGCGTTTAAACGAAGCCGTATGAGCTACCAAATGAGGAGACGACTTCAGAAATGGTGAGGAAAATTCACAAAGCGGTACTGAATGATCGTCGACTGAAAGTACGCGAGCTAGCAGACCTAGAAGGCATTTCAAAAAGTGCGGTTCATCGCATATTATCTGAAAATTTGGATATGAGAAAGCTGTGTGCAAGATGAGTGCCGCGATTGCTCACAATCGAGCAAAAACAGTGTCGTGAAGATGTTTCAATTGAGTGTTTAGCGAAGTTTCACAGCAACAAAGCAGAATTTTTGCGTCTTTTCATAACCGTGGATGAAACGTGGGTCCATCACTTCACACCAGAGACAAAAGAACAATCAAAACAATGGACTCAAAACGGACAACCCGCTCCAAAGAAGGCGAAGACCGTTTCATCTGCGGGAAAGGTTATGACGTCGGTTTTTTGGGAAGCGCGTGGGATAATTTTCATTGACTATCTTGAAAAAGGTAAAACTATCAACGGCGAGTATTATGTCAACTTATTGCATCGTTAAGATTTTTTGGTTAAGAAGAAAGTGTTGTTTCATCAAGACAATGCACCAGCTCACAAATCCGTTATTGCAATGGCCAAAATTAACGAATTAAAGTTTGAATTGCTACCTCAAGCACCCTATTCACCAGATTTAGCCTCCTCGGATTATTTTCTGTTTCCAAACTTGAAAAAATGGCTCAGTGGTCAAAGATTTTCCAACGACGAAGAAGTGATGTCGACAGTTAATGGCTATTTTGAGGAACAATACAGTTCTTATTATAAAAAGGGTATCGAACATTTTGAACATCGCTGGGAAAAGTGTATAGAGCTCAAAGGAGATTATATTGAAAAATAAATACATTTTTTACAAAACTTTTGTGTTTTCTTCGTTGGGTCGGGTACTTCTGGGACCACCCTCGTAGGTCAAGAGGTATCGAAACAGTAATCAGTCGAAAAGGTGATGTAACACGCAGTGGTGATTTGCTATTTGGTTTCGTTGATTTTTACAAATCGGCATTTTTTGAATTTATCTTTGCTACAAAAGATGTAGCATTTTAGGCTAATATTAAATAAAAATGTTATCAGAAATACATTTTAGTTCCTAATTCGTTTCCGCTAGTACGACAAATTTGATAATAATAATAATAATAATAATATTTATTCACTCAATGTACAAAGATAACAAACAATATGAGTAAATAAATATAAAATCAAAACAGGCCCAATAAAAGGCATCGCCTGTACATGGACCAATAAATTTAAGTTGAAACTGTAGAATGCAAACGACAAAAAAGGACAAAAATTGGCTACAGTAGATTATGTATTTAGTTGATGTTCGTATTTATGAGTTTATGAATTTCAGTCCTAGATATAGAATGTAGCCACTTTTTTAAATTTCTTTTGAAACAATTTCCGAAACGTAAATCTTTCAAGTCTTTAGGTATAATTTCATAAAATTTAGGCGCTAAATAGAGATATGATCGCTGCATTATAGATTTATGCGGTTGAGGAACTACTGTGCCACGAATTTTGTACCTGGTATAATGATTATGTTTAATTTTTTGGTCGGTGTTTACAAATTTATGGTAGTGAGTGATACTGTGTAAGAAATAAAGCTGTCTTATATCAT